GGGTTGCCAAGTCCGCGTTTTTTCCACAGAATTGGGCTACTTTTAAACTGTTGCCATGGGTTGATTTTCCCAAGTGTGTTAAAGGTTTGATAAATTACATAAATTACATTTGACTGAAATGCTTGTGTTGAAACATTTTGAATTCTACCTATGATAAAACCTTCTACATTGCTGAGTCCTTAATATTTTCAAGAAACGGCTGAAAACACATCTCTTTCATATTCATTTGACCCTCTAACTCTAGCACTCTCTATTCTAATGCTACTTCTAATTTTATCTGCTTGTTTTTTTTTTTTATTAAAAAGCTTGATCCTCTAACATTTGCACTCTATATTCTATTTCTATTCTAACTACTTGTTTTATTTATAAAGAAAAAAGAGCCTCTAACACTAAATGTTTAGTATTAAACAAGGATTAGATGCCAGTAAAGTGTAAAAACAATTGTCAGGCCGTTGGTGTCCTCTGCAGGCCTTTGATATAATGCATAATGTACGTTAATTGTTTACAACACATTAGAGCCCTGCACGGGCCTCAAATTTAGGCCCTAAGCCTAATTAACGTTACGCATTTAAAGTAACGACCAAGCGGCCAGCGGCAGACAGTGAGCATATGCTTGATCAATTTAGCCTTCTCAAATCATCACGACTTGCCTAAAATAAAATCTATAGATATAAAACAGTTCAAGCATATAACAATGTTTAAACCTAGATAAATGTGCGCTATATCCAATATTTTGTGCGGAGAGTGGAAGCTGAAGCGTCCTTTGCAGGACATGGAGGCGCCAGCGCGATCACTTGCATTTTTTTCAGTGAATACGCCATCATTTTTCCTCATACAGGTAAGAGTAATACATCATTCGTAACTGTAAAGGGTTTAGCATTTTTTGTTTGTTAAATATAAGTTTTTGTTTTTTAAAGTAATGACCAAGCGGCCAGAGGCAGACACTGAGCCTATGTTTAATCAATTTAGCCTTCTCAAATCATCACAACTTGCCTAAAATAAAATCTATAGATATAAAACAGTTCAAACATATAACAATGTTTAAACGTTAAACCTAGATAAATGTGCGCTATATCCAATATTTTGTGCGGAGAGTGGAAGCTGAAATTTTATTTGTGTGCACTCACAATATCAACAAAACGTTGTGCTTTTATAAAATAAAAACAAACATTATGCGCTTTCTGCCGTCTTACGGTAATTACTTTTGCCGATGCTTTGCGGCAAGCTTAAGCCTATTGCGTGCATTTGAACGCAGAACTCTTCAGCTGCGCTGACGGCACGCACCATACATACTGCTGCTGCTGGACACTAAACACCGTAGAGCCGCTCTTGACAGTCGCTGTAGCACGGTCTCGTGTTGTTTCCACCAGCGCGGCAATTTTTTCATCACTAATTGATGGATGTCTAAAATATAAAAATAAGGAGAAGGCTAAAACAGGCCCGAGGCCCGGCCCGCGTCTCAACTATGACGTGAAAATTGGGCAGAAGCCCGGCCCGAGGGGGCGTAAAAAATAAGGGGCCCATCGGGCCCAGGCTGAAATGCAGGGCTCTACAACACATTATGTATTTTCATTATAGTTTTGTTCAATAAAACAATATTACTTGCTTTTGATACTTTATTTGAACCAATTATTATTGTGCCATTGCTATTATATATGTATTTTAAGTCATTTTAAAGGCTATTGTTTGCTTAGGTCTATTTTTATTACCTCAAAAAAAATTCACTATAATTATCCGATTACTCGATTAATCATCAGAATAATCCACCAATTACTTGATTACCAAAATAATTGTTAGTGACAGCCCTATTCTGATGCATTGTATATTCTGATATATGTAGTCAAACTGACAAAAATTAATAACTTACAAACGGAACAGTCTCGTGATCTATCGCTTTTATCAACATAAACATCATCAATGTCCTACCTTTCCCATAGAAGTGCTCATGGTAGTATCTGGCACCCAGGTCAACGTGCTCGATGCAGTGTAGCTGCAGTCTCTCTAACCTGGTGGCTTGAACCTCTGGCGGCACTTCCAGTTTGGACACACTGGCATTACTGCAGCGTGGACGAAGCCGGGCCTCCACGATGCCAGCCTCTCCCCGCTCCGCCCATGAGCTCAGAAAGCTGACATTCCGTTCCCTGTAGCTTCCGGTCTCATTGATGAAGTGCGGGCAGCTCAGCAACAGCTGGTGCTGAGAGTTGGCATTAACGCTAGCTGAACCACCCTGCTCTGAATGTTCCAGTGCTGTGGTTGATCCTTCCGATAGGTCCCTGACACTGAGGTCATCAGTGCTGGAGAAGCTGGGCTCCACTCCCCCCAGAGCAATAGCTCTGGAAACTGCCAAAGAAACAGCAGCCGAAGAAGCAGCTGAAGCTCCGGTGGCTGTGTTTCGCCGCTGGGCAGCGTAGCTGCGACGAGCTGCTGCCTCGTGCAAGTCAAACAGAACACTCTGAGCGTCAAAGTGGGCAAAACTCCGCACACATACCCAGGGTTTGGAAGACAATGTCTCAGGGGGTCGTATGTCATCCAAGTCGCCTCGTGGAGTCTCTGTTTCTCCCCGGCTGGAGCTGCGGAGTTTGCGGAATAAGGAGGAGGTACCAAGAGATGACTCTGTGCCACCACTCTTTTTGCGTACACTATTCTCTAGGCGGTCATCAGGCCGTGGAGTCGACAAGAAGGCGTGTGAAGTGGGTCCCTCTAAAGAAGCACCAAGCAGCTCTCCAAGCTTTGCAGGGGCTGTGCTACGCTGGTCTGGTCGCTCCTGTTGAAACTGGCTGAGCATGTCAAAGAAGCTTTGCTCAGACACTGCCTGTACATTGATGGAAGAAGTACTGCCATATTCCCGAAACAAATGGCCTTCGACCTCTGTTTCATCTTGTTCACTCAATGTTATCTCGCTGTTGGAGCGCTGTCGGAGTGGAGCGAATCCAGATGTCCGAAACCTCGGTGGTGTGCCTGGAGCCCTCGTTAAACCTGATTCAAGGAAGTCACCGTCCCTGGTACCTCGCTGTAGTAACCTGGTCACACCTCCACGAGTAAGCCCATCCTCGCTGTTGAGGTCATCCGGATGACTGCCCTGGCCATTCTCAAGCAGCGATTCTCGTGAAAGTGCCCTGCGAGGAGGCCACTCGGCAATCCGAGCTCGAACCCCCATTTTGGGCACGGAGACACGGGACGGGGCTGGATCGCCCACGGAAGAGTGGCCATTATGAAGGGGTAGACGGAGGTGGGGTGGAGGAAGAGGTTGAGAGAGAGGGGTGGCACACACCCCTGTGTCTCTGTACATGTTCATGGAGCCCACTGTAGTCTCAGGGCCAAAAAGGAGGGCAGGGGTCGTAGGGGAGAGAGCATCCTGGATCGATACTGCTGGTGTTCAGTGAGAAGGAGAGATGGACAAGCTCCACGCTGCTGTTGCTTCCTCCTCCCACACTCATTTCTTTGGTAGGAAAGGACTCACCTTTCCTAATCCTTCTGGACCAATCTGGAAACTCAAAGGCCACTTAAATCACAGACCTGCAAAAAGGCAAGAAACAAAGAGACATTTGGTATTATATATTTCATCCGGTTACTTATATTCAACTTTTAAAAAACATTCAGTTGTGCTTTTTGGGTTTGGGATCTTTTTCCTTTCCTTACACTTACTCTAAGCACTCTAGAGCCCCTACTTCCCGTAAACCTTCTTCCTTAATATTGTGATGTTTATTTTGCTCAAGGGATGAGCAGTTTTGAGAACAAAATGCAGAGAAAAGCTGACTGAAACTAAAATGAGAAAAGAGGAGTAGGATGAAAAAGAGAGACAAGAAAAAAAAACAGGCTGGTAGGAGAGAGAAGAAGTGAGGTGAGAGGATTTCAGACGTGGATTTCTCACACTCTTTTGAGGCTAATCTCTATTCCTCTTCCTGGCAGATATTCTCAGTCTCAGTCTTCATGATGTGTGGCGTGACAGCGGCATGGCTTGTCGGACATAGCAACAGTAACCAAGGCAGGCGGTCTGTGCTAGGGCTGTGCAATATGGACAAAAAAAACCTATCGCGATTTCTTTGATCAATTTTGCGATTTCGATTTTAATCACGATTTTGACACACACAGACATGCTTTACAGTCATAAATGCATTCAGTGTGAATTTGAAACATATTTCCAAAAGAAAACCAATTAGAGCTTTATCAAGAAGCTGTAACATGTCTCTAGAACAGACATATGGCAGGAAAAAAAAAATCCCGTGTCCATTGGTCATAGAGCTCTCTGTGGCGTTGCCTCAGATGTTGAACTAGATTTGTTGTGCCAAGTTCACACATACTCCGTCTGCAATGCGTATACAGCCTATGTGTATGCGGTGCAGAAGCAGCACGGACTCATTTTGCTTTCGCACAGGACGCGTTTGCAGTCCGCTCTGATCCGCGGCTGTTTACCACAAACACAACATTTATCCAGTATTTTGATTTCAAATCCAAACGTTGTTTCTGAAAATGCTTTTTAAGCATTGTGATTCTCTTTTATCACAGTACAGTAATACAATCTTTCATAGACATAGTCACGTTTAAACTCAAATATAACTTTGTTTAACTACCACCATGAGTGCCATCTATTATTGCCTTGTTTATCTAAAAGTGCACTTTTCCTTGTTTTAAATCTAGCCAAAAAGCCATGTGTTGACTGTGAAACAGTAGACATTAATTATATGCATTTATGGTGTAATTACTAAATTTCCGTGCCAATCCATGTTATTTTTTACCGCGAATAATGCG